TCATTTGTACCTTGGGGAGAGATTCAATGTAGTTGTCTGGGATCTCCATCTCTGATAGGACCTGAGCGTTAATGGCCATGGATGCTTTGAGCACTTGGTTGACACAATCCTTTTGATATTGCAGCCATTTGCGCGATGCATCTGATAAGCCACTAGGAGGAACCTTGACTGTTGGCAGCCACCATTTATCATCCCTCTGGACACCTTTCTCAGAATCATCGGCGTCGCTTGAGACGTACCAAAATTCATTGTCGTCTTTGAAATTATCCAGGCAGTCCTGTTTATTGCTACATTCTTTCAGCATGCAAATGAATATGAACTGTTGCGCAATAGGGGGAGGAGATGAGAGAATCTTACAATGAGCATCGCATCAAGCTTGCGCAATGCTGGGATGTTCATGAGCAGATCTTTTCTTTGTTGAGTGACCATTATCTGTTAAAAGCATGGAAAAGATGAAAAGATTTCTCGGCTTCTAATCCATTGAAACCATTCACATACCTGAAGTGAAGTGAAGAGAGATAATTTCCCTTTTAAACGCTGGAATCATAAGTTGAACTAGAAAGCCTCGGGGAGAACGAGAAAGTAAATCACCTCCATGTTCTTTCCATCCTTTGCTACTTGTTGAGAGGGGACGAATTCAACAATGTTATCCGTCACAGATAGAAGCCAATCGATTTCTTTTTTCCACCTCAATTTCCGCTCTGAAGCCATGGGTTCTAATTTCCTCTGCTCCCCAAAAACAGAAGCTGCATGTTTTGCCCCCACCGCCCCCCCAACAAAAAAAAAAAAAAAAAAAAAAAAAGGCAATGGTTTCCAGATGTTAAAACTTTTTCAACTGCGGGACAAGATTATATAGAAATGAATTGAAATTTGTGATGCTAGATCATATTGCATTCTATTTGATCACTGGATTATCCAATTATAAATCAGTCTACCGGATATGTGTAGAATTGCATCATTACCAGCAAGATTTGTAATGGCATTTGACAAAGCCAGAGCTGATGAGACACCCTTTCCCCCCCCCGACATGTCCTCTCCCAAAAGAAGCTTTGAGAATCTTTCCTTCATCAATTCCAAATCTGACCAACCCAAGGAAAAAAAAAAAAAAAAATGCACAGGACTCGTGAGACTTTTCTGTCCATTGATCAGCACCACATCGTGATTCTTGATTGAGACATTCAAATGCATATCAATATGCAAACACGTTCAACTCATCTTGCTCTGAAGACATGCATGAAAGATAGCAAATTGTTTACACACCTGAAGGCTGTCTAGATTCCTTTGAATTGGGAGCTCCTAACTTTCCGCCCTCTCTGCATAATCTGGAAACAGGGCCAGCATCCGTAGACCGATTATAAACACTACCTACGTGTTGAGCATCTGAAGCAGCTTTGCCACCTTGACTCCTAAACACCAACCTATCTGCATCCGCAATGGGGCTCTCACTGCCATGCCCGCTATCAAGGATTAAACTATGAGCTTGCCTTCCTGGGATCTCAAACATCTTTGCTAATTTAAAGGAAATCGACTTCTTGATGCCACGGACTTCTTCGCTAACCATACCACGTTGTTTTTGACCTTTTTACCTCACCGGCTTCCTGCATTTCAATTCCATAATGCAGCCAAAAAGAGAATAAAATTTCATTCTAATGACACCAAAGAAAAACCCTCCTGCCTATGACCATGAGGGAACCTCCCAAGTAAAACGAAACAGGAAAAGGGTTTTTCTGGTTTTGATTGGATGTCAAAAGAGAAGAAGAAGAAGAAGAGGAAGAAGAAGCAGAGGAAGGCAGTTCTAGTTTTTGCGTGGAGTTTACTTTGTTGAGCGAGGGACGTGGGGTGCATGTTTGATGAGGAGCAAAAAGGGGACCGGGTGGGTACAGACCACAATACAATGAAGAGAAAAGAAAAAAGAAAAAAAAAAAGAAAAAGAAAAGAGAGAGAATATTAGAGAGAGATTCACAGTTGTTATTGGATTGACTGTTGTTTTCTTGATCGGTTGGCAAAAAGCCCGGGAAAGCATACATCATGACAACTAACTTTTTTCCTTATAAGGACAACTCCCTCTCCCTCCATGTTCTCTAGTTTATCCTCTTCTGCTGCTAAATCATCAGCCATCCGTCCAGAGGACTCAGAATTAAGTATAATATACCCTCTGATTCACCACTAAACTTCAGGTGGTCCCTTTTGGAAAAGGAGAAAAACAACAAGAAGAAAGCAGGACTAGGATTTAAAACGTTCAAGGTTTTGTCTAATCTCATCATTTTGCGGTTCTGATGTAGGAGTAGTTATGCGATACATGATGTTTTATTCAACCATGTGCTGAGGCCCATAAACAAGGGGCGGATTCTTTCAGGTCTACCTGGCTGCATTTTATCATCTCGGAGAAGATTTTTCTTTGGCTACTTGACCACCTACCCGACTACATTTCATCTGCTAAGATTTAGCAGTGATCTGGAGCAAGCTCCTGTGTTTTCTAAAACACTTCTCTCCTCTTCTACAACGAGTTGGGGAAATTTTTCTCATTTAGCCTCCACGTAACCTAGTCTTGAATAGATACATAGTCTTAAATAAAGGTCTACTTCAGTAATCGAAATGGTCTTTTCATGAAAAGAAAAAGTAACTTCAAGAATAACTCTTCATTTGTGAAAGGAGCTATCAACTGCTCATCTCTTGCATGAAAGGGGTTTTGCATGATGTAGGATATCCTTCATTTGTTACCTATCTAATCAGTAGAGCCACCACATGCATGATTGTTTAAACTGTCATTATCAGAGTCCGCTGTTACCACTAAATCTTTTAGCCGCTCAGCTGTCTAATTGCTGCTCACCCGTATTGAACAAGTATACAAGAGAAATAGGAGGGTGAAAATGTCCATTTCTCCTAGTCTCAGATTTGACCGAAAAGAAGATCAGGAAAAAAAACATATGCAGTAAAGGATAAAACAACGGCAACTATTACCTGCTTATGAACAATGTACATGGAACATAACCCCCTGTATAAGATGTCACAGCCCAATTTAACAACCCCCGATCAACTCATGCATGCATGGGTACGATACACATTAACTCATCTTTTTGCTATGACAATTGAACTTCTTGTATGGATTGTGGAAGGCTAGGCTCTTTGTCCTCCTCCTCATTATTTTATTAATGAAATAAGTAAAATAATAGAGCTGAGATTCCTCCCCTGGACGGGCTTGTTAAAAAATACTGTTGTTGGGTAGATGGCAAAAGCGGAGAAAAGCGACGAAAGCAGAAAGAAAAGGCAGGCCTGATCGCGCACCTAAACAATGTTGAGGCCCATTTACACTGTCCATGTCGATTTGACTTTTTTTAATTAATAATATATGGAGCCTTAATGGCTGGAGCCTTCAGGATTGCAAAGCAACAGCGATCCAAAGCCCAGTGAGGTCCATCAGAATTCTCCATAAAAAAAAGGGAAAGGAGGTGGATGTTCATCGTAAAAGGAAATGCCGGAGAAGAATAAAAAATAATGCAATAATATTCATTCATTGGGACCGGACGGAGTTTAGTTTTCTGGAAAGATTCAAATTTAAACCCAGACAGTAGTACCAAACCAAGGTCCTACATTTATGACAGAGTAAGCATCTGACAGACTGACCCATGCATCAGTATTCATGGTAGGCTAGGAAAGAATTTATTAATTTTACATTTATGAGGGCCGTCAGAAAAGAAAAAGGGTTGGAGCTGGAGCCTGGCCCTGGACAAGAATCTTGTGAGTAGAAAAAGGGTTGCTCTTCTTTTTCTTTCATGTATGGGGGTTTATTATCAATTTGCGGTTTACAAATCTCACTGGTCACTACTGCTGCCGCCTGCATTTACTGTGATATTTAACCACGCACGCACGCACGCACCTCTCCTCTTCCTCTTCCTCTTCCTCTGTCCTCTGTCCTCAAGAAATGAATCTATTGTAGTAATAAAAGTGTGGTGCTTTGCATAATTTAACTTTTGAAACCAACCCATTTTGAATCTTATCGCGCCAGATAAATCACCCTACCTCTATCTAATTGACCAATAACCTTTAAGCGAAGGTCGCTTTTTCTAAGAAAAATTACAAAAGAGCATGGTAGAAAAATAACTTGAAAAAGCTGTTCAAACGAAATCATGTGATTTTTCTGGATTCGTCTACTGTGTATGTATCATCTAATCTAACTATATAAAAGCGGAAAAAGTAGAGTGTGTCTAAATATATTATAAGGGAAGAATAAATGTAAAATCTCAGTTAGTTTGCTTGCTCGGGTAGCGTTCCTTCTCTGGTGAATGCAACTCAATGAATTCGTAGGTTGGGACTGATGGATGGTAACGTGTACGCAGACATTCGAGACCAAATTGCATGCCAGAGCGAAAGTAATAGTACTCTTCTTGTTTTTTCTTTTGGCGACAAGAAGCCAAAGACTATGGCGGCGAGCGACTTTTAGTGGTTTACTTGCTTTCAGGTGGGTGAGCAAGACTTTTTGTTAAATCAAATGCTAACGTAGTGCAACGAATACCAATTATTGATGAATTTTGTCTTTGTTGATTGATCTAAAAACTCAAAGAACAGTTGGTTTAGTCTTTTCTTGTTTCCTTTTTCTTTTTTGGAGCAGGGGATCTTTTCTAATCATGCGGCAATCATCATGTTTGCAAGAAATTCATAGTCAGCTAAAAAAGTGATTGTGTAAAATGATTATTGAAATGTTTTTGGCATATTAAAAACATATCTTTTGTCACCGAACAAGCAGCCCCCACCGAGGGAAAAAAAAGAGGAGAGAGCAGTTAGATAGATACAGATACAATTGCTACTGATCTACGAATACGACCGTAATCAATAATTTCATGTGCATGTCCACCGGGCCATTTTCTCATCATATATCTTATCTTCACGGTCCGTGTATATAATACGACTCTAGCCAGTGTTCAGTTTCTGCTAATTTTGGACCGACCTTCCCTTCCCCACGTCAAGCTTTCGAATAGATTTGCTTCTTTTAGTATCCTTCTTCAGCTTACACACGACACGACAAAACCATCATTTTGCCAACCAATAATCCATTGCAATTAAATCAGAACAAATAGTTCTTGCAGTAGTATTAAAAACAAAAAAAAAAACTGTTCTTTCTCGTTAAAAAGACATACGGATATTGATATTGACTGATAGAGATATTGCTGTGGGTACACGGCACAAAGTCAAGCTCAAGATTTACCAGCTAGCTTAAATGTTTTGGTTCCTCTCAGTTGCGTGGATCTGAGGGCTCTTCGTCACCAACGGGCAAAGCACCAGAACACATGCAGATGCTGGTGAGAATTAACCCTTAACAGTTGAGGGGTCTTGATCAATCAATTGTCAGTGATCATCATTGCGTTAGTTCTTGAACGTGTTTTAGTCTTTACTTCAAATTTGCAAAATTGGGTCTCTTTTAGGCTCTCTTTTTAGCCCCAAGATTTCATTTTTTCGATGATTTTTGTTGGCATTAACGCGCTGTTCATCTGGGTTTTCGAATGAAGCTGAAGGACAGGAAATTGGGTTGATCAAAAGGGACAGAGAAAGCGTTTTTTGGAGGGAAGAAAACAAACTCAAAGAGCGCAGCAGGTATGCAAGTAAAGACAAGACTTCTTGTTATTTTTTTTTTGGGAGAGGGGGGGGGGGGGGGGTTTGTGTGGAGGGGTAATGATCTGTGTGTGTTTTAGCCGCTTCTGCTATGTTTTACCTGCTGAATTTGTCTGTGATCTAGATTAATTTTCAATTTCAGATCTGCATTGCCTCCAAAATTCTCCTCCTCTCTCTCTCTCTCTCTCTGTCTCACAAACACACGCAAAGAAACACGTTTTAACAGCTTTTGCCTGATAAGTTTGTAGGGAATTGAAATTAAGGAATGAAGATGACCAATAGCGTCTATTTGAAAATATCCAAAGAAGATACATTTTTTTAAGTGTATATTTTTTGTATGACAATCACATAATTGTTCTAGACGGCAATATATTGGAATATTTGTGCCGGTGCTTTTTGTGACATTAAGCTAGCTAGCAGAGGAACAGTTGTAAACTATGGACTCACTTTCGAAACCAGCATTAGGCAGACGCAAGCTTTTGCTTGGCAAACTCTGGTCAAATTTAAGCTTGTTTTGTTTTCTAGAGATTAAGCAGTATCTGACTTCTTCTATGAAATTTTATGTGATAGAATATGCCTCAAGACGGTCCAAAGTCGGTTGTATACCGATCGTTCTTCTCTTGTGATGATCCAAAAGGGGTTGTGGAATGTAAGACGAATAGAAAATCCAAGACTGACTCTCTCAAGTCGAAGGAGAAGGTAAAACATCAGAAGAACCAAAAGAATTTGAGTGCGTCGTTCTCATTCAAGGAAGAAAGGAAAGACAGAGTCTCAAAAGGGCCCACAGATCATCAGCTACATAATCCTTCTTCATACCAGCTCATGGAAATATCTAGAGGAGCACAAAAAATAAATCAAGTTACAGACTCTTGGCCTGAGGAAAAAGGTTTTGATAGGCAGACCAAAGACATTGCAGAAGAATTGTTGAGGGGAGCTCTTGATCTAAAGGAGTCTCTCACAATGCTGGGGAAGCTTCAAGAAGCTTCACAAATTATGGCTAAGTTGAAGAAAAAGCACAAGGAAAGGGCCCGAGGTGGAAGCCATGAAGGAATTGGCATTGAAAGGACTGTGTCTGAGCGATTTGGATATCACGACCGCAAAATGTTGGAGTTTCAAAATCCAAGACTTTCTGTTGATGGATCCACCAGAGATTGTTTCGAGGAGCTTAGAGAAGTGATAAGAGAGAGCTTTGCCAGGCAAAATCTGTTGCCAAAGGTTTCCAACGAGGAAAAGGCATATTCTGCAGCAAAGACTTCCGAGGAAGATAAGGTTTATTCAGAAGAAAAGCCTTATTTTGATAGAACAAAGTCAGACTTCTCACTGGATGTTCCATCCACCAGCTCAAGCCAATCCTCAATGTTTCACTCCCATGAATTTGACACTTCTTCAGACCTCTCGCTATCAAAATCTATAGAGGAGAAGCCCAAGGCTCCTAATGTAATTGCCAAACTGATGGGTCTAGAAGCAATCCCTCCAAAACCATTACTATCCAATCCTCAGAAGCATTATGGGAAGGACAGGGCACTAAATCAGGAAAGAACGCCATTCGATATTGATTTGCCAATGGCAAGTATGAGGACTCGTTTTACGGTTCAGAAGGTGGATCCACGGCCAATGAAGTTGAATAAACTAACTGATGACATGCAATATAAAGGACTTTTGACAGGTAAGTCTGTTGATGGGCCTGAACATCTTTCAAATGCTTCTGAATGGAAGAAAAGGTTTGCTTATGATGCCGCACCCATTGTGATTATAAAGCCGTTGCATGTTTCTGGTTTGCTGGACGAAGAGCTTCTCGGGCAGAAGTATATCCATCAAGATTTAGACACCAAAAGGATGCTCAGGAAATGGAAAACTAAAGCAGGGCTTCCTTCAAGACCTAATAATAGTCATGAAGGAGCTCTAAACTCCACTGAGATTCACAGAAAACTGCAAGTGGAAAAAGCTCCAGCAAAAGGGCCTATTCAAGAAAAAGAAGATAAGGACTGTCTGGATGCTTTTGCTAGAAAAGATACTAAATCAGTTAAACGTCAGGACAACCTGTCTTCTACAACAGTAAAAGCTTCTACTCCTGGGAAGCCCAAACTACAGAAGAAAGATGCAAATGAGAACAAAGTTGTTCCCAAAATTCAAAGAGCTGTTGTGAATACAAGGAAGCAAGTGGAAGTTGATACTGAAAAGTTAAGAGATAGAGCTAAATCTCACCACATCAACAAACAAGCATCTACAAATCCCAGAAAACCTGAGAGAGAACCAAATGTTACAAAAGTTCGAGTGTCAGCACAAAAAGGTTCAACATGGGATCCCATATCAGACTGCATTACTCCGACTACATTATTGAACTCGAGTGCTCGAAAGAAGAATGCCAAAAATGAGAAAAGAGCCAGTGAACCTTCAACAATTGTTGTAAGTGATTGCATTGCATGTCTCATATTCCAATTTAGTTCCTTCCGGTTTAAACAGTGGGCATTTTGTTCCTGGATTGTACCTTTGACTGGAGCTTAATCTTAAACATTAACTTTCTGCTTTTAATATGCAAATATAAATAGAATATGATAATGCAGGTTGAAAAAAAACACAAGAATGATGATGTTCCAGCCGACCCTGAAGTTGGGGACGATGAAGCTTTGACTGCAAAAGGGATCACCTCTTCAGAACAACTCCCTGGTGATGAAAAGAAAGATACTCCTACAAACCTAGGTAAGATATTATTGAATTATGTTTCATTCAGTATAGGGAAGGGAGAAGGGACTATGAACTGGACTTAAATTTTTGCATATGTGCATCGGAAAAGAACTTCAGATGGTAATTAGCTTTTTTCCCCCCTTCAAACTGCATTGTGACTTGTAAGTAAGCTCTAGTAGACAGTCATTCATGTAACTACTGTCATCTTTGAGTATTCTTCTCGATATACCCTGTATTTAACCAGTACAAAGCGTTAAGACTCGTTTTGCTTTAACTAATTAGTAGTCAACTGTAGATCCTTTTTATTTATTAGACTTATAATGTAGATGCATCTGAATATGTTAATGCAAAAATAACCTGTTATAAGTTTGTGCCGAGTTGAAAAGACAATATGTGCAGGCAGTAAAAGTGCTCGTCTGTTGCTACCAAAAGACAAGTTTTTACTTTCACTTCCCACTACCTCCTGCCAGACACTCACCCCTACAAGAAAAAAGCAAGAAATAAGTCTTGTAGGCTCAACCTTGTGTACATATGCATATTTCCTCTTACTTTTCTCATTTACATTTTTTTAAAGAAGAATGAAACGGAATAAACGGCAAATATTACACAGATTACATGTTTATCGAAAAAACAATAAGTTAGAGGCTAAAATAATTCAGTAATAATTACATAAATTAAAGTAGAAGTTCAAGCTTCCCCAACCTGATAATTTTCATCTGCTTAACAAGCAACAGTCTTAAGAGCATAGGCCTTTTTTCTCTGTTGCCTTTGCTGAACCAATATACAAAAAAAAATATCTAAGAAAATAAGTACATCTTTTGTAAAAAATCTGCATGAAATTAGTCACACATGCATGTTAAACGATGATACTCTGTGATTATACATGTCTATCCACGTGCATCTAAAAGGATGACATCCCGTGTTCCCTTTTTTTTCCCGGGGTAATTAGAGAGGTTGGTCAAACATGCTGTGAAGGTTGTTTTCTTAGGAGTTAGGCCTGTTTTTCACAGAAGGCTACAGCTACTGTCTTCCTGGTAGTTGCTACTCAAGATGCATTGAGATACATCCACATTGCCATTTGTTAACATAAGACCATTTTATGGCAGATAATTGCAGTAACAACAGAACTTGTCCTTGTGAATCTACCTATTCTGTCCAGCCCAACAACGAAATCAGATCCATGGATAATGCTAAATGCAGCATCAATTGCAATCTAACTGAGGTGAAGAGCTGTAAAAGGGATAACAACACAAGAAAACTACTTCTGGATAGTTCATCATTTCTTTGTCACGCTGAGGAGCTATTTGAGACTCGTGCATATCAACCTGCAGTGTCACACAAACCTGGCTTACATTCCCATGGAACAGCTGACACCAAACTGTTACTTGAATGTGCAAAAGAGTTACTGGAACAGAAAAGCCTTCAATTTAGAGTTGCAGGTCATCCATTGCCACATATATGCATTAAGAAGTCAAAAATCTGCATCTCCCTTGATCACTTAGTCAATGAGATTTCTGATGGAATACAGTATTTGAGAAGCTACTGCAAGCTTGCTGGTAAGACAATTGTTGTAGATGCTCTTTCTACAGTGCTCCAAAAAGATATGTGGTGCAAGGGAGTGGTGAATGGAGGTTGGGACTTCGGTTGGAGGAATGGATTTACTCTGGATGAAATTGATCAAGTTGTCATTGACATAGAACAGAAAATTTTGACTGGAATCATTGATGATATGCTGATGGATATGGTAATGTAGTACTTTGTACAAAATTCAGTAACGGAGTTAGGGAATCGAGTTCTTTGCTGTACATAATACTACACTAACTGGTAGGACTGGAAAATATGTTGTCCAGGGCCTCGATAATTCTCGAATTATTATATACCATTATGTTGCTATAGTCATAGTTCAGTGCAAAATGCATCTTGTAGATGACCATTCTTTCTGCTGAGGATGGAAAACGCTAACCATTTCATGATGACAACATGTTTTTAATTGCTGAATGGTAATGCACTTTTTGGTATGTAATTCCTAAAAGATTACTCTGTTGTGCAGTGTTAAGCTTGATATACAGATGCAGACTGCTCTTGCTCTACATCTGCGGAAAGTGTCATCCTACCCTTAAAAAGAGTACATGAAAAATTGACTTTCTGACATGAACCTTTTCTTTCCAAACTCTCGGGCAAGCGTTTCGCATTTGCAATATTCTGAGAGCCTTCGACAGGTAAACTAAAATTGATTTCCTCGTGCACTATAGATTTAGGTTTTCCCAGTCCTTAGACAGCTAAAGTTGAAGAAATTTTTAACCGTATAGTATGCTGAAGTAGCTACAGGCCCAAAGGAATAGCCTCAACCAGAACTTAGAGATAGCAAATAGCCAATATCACCAGCTTGCATTGCCTGGCGCACTTCGGTGTTTTTGACTAGTTTGTCATACGATACAAAGCCAAGGATAGCATTCAATGACGGTTCAGACTAAAATTGCCACAGCTGGAATGGTTGAGAACCTATTCTAAACATTAAATTTGGGTTCAATCTGTATCATGCGGTTTTAAAAAGAGAAACACCTGGACGCGGTGCTCCATATCCATAGTCAACAAGTGATAATTTCACCCATCAGCAAGGAAAGTTACATTTGGATCAATTTGAACTTCCTCTGGTTCATCCGGTGACAGGGCCATTGAATAACATATTAGCATTTGCTATCACAGCCGACGCATATTCATATTCCAATATCATTAGATGAAAAGTCCTCTCTTTCTATCATATACAACAACAAGATTTAAGAGGAAGCTCCCTTAAAGATAAGAAAATTGAGGGTCTCTAAAGCAAAATAAGCAAAAGTTCCTTTTGAATGAGTAAAGAAGCAACCAAAATTAGAGCCAACCACACATTGCCATCCACCCCCATACATCTTGTCAAACTCCTGCCAATATGAAACAGATAGCCCATTTAGATGCACGCAAGCTTCGTCAAATGAGCACATAGACATATTACATCAGTTCAAAAATGTACTGATTGATTAGATTTCTTTGCATCAGAAAATTGGATGGCGTAGCAGATTAGTATCAGCGTACCTTTTTGATGTGGGCTGCTATGGAGGTACAATCAGTAACATCATAAATATCAAGAGCTTCAGAAGCAGAAGTCATTGCTTGAATCTGCATCTTTCTTGGCATATCTGTTTCCTTTATCTGAGCTTTGCCTTCCAACATTTTCTCTCCTCTTCCTTTCCTCCTCAGTATAATGTATGAGTAGCTTACCATTCAGACAGAATCCCAGAAATGGTTCCCTAATCCATAGCAATAGTACTTTTCGGGCTCAAAAGAAAAGGGTCGTGTACTAGTATTAGAATCTACAATCGTCAAAGCCAATAATAGCGGACGGGTTCAGACAGGAAACTTCTCCCCATCTGTCACAAGTATTTTGACTCAGTCTTCCTCTCATCCACACTTGACAGTCGTGAAGGACCAGTATCTTTGTATGGCCTGGGAAAAGTTCCAGATTGGCACGCACAACCTTATTTTGTTCTTTTCTGTCGAGAATGGACCTTCCTTACAAATGTAGGGCAGCCGATGTAGCCTGATTGCAATTGCAAGTTAAAATGACACCAAAAAGAGGCACCGCTGCTTTTATGATCACCACATAGTTTTGGTGCTAGAATCAAATGATAAATGTTGGCTGCTAACATCTTGTCCTCCGTTGGATGAAAAGATGATGTGCAATCTTTTCATTCCCTCTCTAAATAGAGAGCATCCAAAGCCTCCATGATAGTATTAAGTCACAATTATTCCATTCCTTCCATCAATGAAGAAACCATTTTGGAGTTTATCATCATGGTATTCTTCGAGCACGTGATTTTTGCTCCTTCTAAGAAATATATGCCTTGGTAGTTGGACGTCGATTTAAAGGTGATCATCCCATACCCCTTTTTTCGGTACAATCATGAATCATCCCATGTCTTTGAGACGGATATAATTGACCATTTGTTGCTCCGGTAACTACCATTCTGGTGAACAAACACTTGGAATCCTCGGTGACATGTTTTTCTATGCCAATTCAATGTCATCTATAGTATTGCGCTAAGTGTCCTGTTATTATTTACACTTTAATTTTCTAATAATTCAACTTAGTTTGGTTTAACTTTAATTTTCTAATAATTCAACTTAGTTTGATTTAACATAAGTGTAAATAATAACAAGACACTTGGCACAATATTATAAGTGGCATTGGATTGGCATAGAAAACATGTCACCGAGAATCTCAAGTGGTGAACCAAAACGACAAGGAGAAGCGTAATTATAGTATTTTTCATCATAATATTCCATTTCCACGTTGGACGGGTGTACAAAATGGAAAGTTTTGTACAATAACCTTGTAATTATGCACAAAAAAAAAAAGAGTAGAATGAAAATGTGAATCATTTGACGTGGTCATCCAATAATAATTTCCGTTATCTGTCACCTTGTAGCCTACCAATGCTTTTAAATCTAGGTCGAAGAGTGAATTGAAAAAGCTTCTAATTTGTGGTTCGGTCGATTTAACTCTAGTTCAAAATTTTAATCATTCATTTATTTATTTTATTATAAAAAATTCAAATAAGACGGAAATATTTGTTTTAGAAAATTAAAAAAATTAGTAAAGACTGATTGAGCCTTCCAATTTTTACCATCAATTCTTGATTAAGTTTGATTGATGCAATTGAATTTTTGAGTTAATCATTGAATCGGATCAAAGACATGGCCAATTCATCTTGATTCGACCGACAAAACTAACTAGTTTGATCCGATTTTCAAACCATTGTATCGTACCTTACAAGATTTTTGTTGACTTCACTTCCTTTCCAAATTCTTCCTTTTTTTATTTTTTAACTTCCATGCGGAAGATTTGAAAATTTCCCCGTATGTTTGGCATGCCAGAACTAGTTTTCATTGTGTCCATGCAAAACATCAAGGTTGTGTTTGGATTGCATTTTCCGTCATTTTTCATGGAAAAATTACTGTAGCGATTTGATATATGTGAGGGAAAAAGGTGATAGGGAAATGTGATCACGAAAAACGATAATATTTTCTAACGAAAACCTTCAATCCAAGCAAGGCACAAGTGTGCATCATATGTCTTTTCAAAACTAGAGAGAGAAAGAGAGAGAGAGAGAGAGAGAGAGAGAGAGAGAGAAAAGTAAGCATGTATCTTGTGTATTCGGATGGTAAGTTTAAGAAAGCGTAAACGAGAGGTTTTGGGTTCGTAAAAAATTATTGGGGTTTCCTATTATCACTGTCTATTCTAATTTAACATAGATTCACTCTGCGAGAATCGTACTCTCAAGAATTCAAATGCCCGCTAGGGAAATGATTTGTATTAAACTGCCATCATTTTGATTCTTTTCTGTTCAAAACTACAACTCCTTGTTTGTTACGCAGAAGTGCCCAAAATGGAAAGGTTTTTCCACCCAAAATATATGTTTCCACCCAGGATGGCGAGAAAAAATATTATTCCAGGGTTTGACAGACAAGTCAGAATGAAATGTTTATTTAGTTTACAATATTTGGTATAATTAATATGTAAATGTCATAATGGAATATACTAAATACAAATTTGACTTAATTGCTCTGGATTACTTTATTTTATGTAATATGTCTTATTACTTTTTTTACTTGTTCTGTAACAGTATTTGTCTATTTATGTAAAATTTTGATATTTTTACTTCAAAAATAAATAAGGATTGATATCAAATTTCTTCAATTGTAATACTTGATTCATTTTCATAAATAGATTTTTAAGTTAAAATTTTTCATTTTCATTTACTAGCAATATAATTAGCAGCATAGAATATAAATTACATGAAGTCGGACAATTATAATTTATTTTCAATTTCGATAAGATTCAAAAAAGAATTCTTGCACAATTGTTCAAAAAGTCAAAGAATAAAGTATATTAAAACGTTTGTTTCCTAGTATAAAAGAAAATTTTTATTTAAAATACAAGAAAAATTAATATTTATGAAAGTTTACATTCAAATATTAATTGAACTCACAACTAGCCTAAGATATCACAACATAGTGTAAAAATTTTTAAGGATAAATTTGACACCCTATTATTTAGATATTTAGGATAAAGGTGGAAAGAGCTTTTCCTTTTTTTTTTTTTTTTTTTTTTTTATAGAGAAATGGGATTCTAGAAAAAAGTTGGAATGAACATTGTGTGGGAAAGGGGTTTTCCACTTAATAAATGAACGATACCAAATGTTGGAATGAATTGAACAAGTTGAAAAGATCTTTCCTTTCCAAACCATTCCTATGTACCAACGAGGGGGAAGAGTATGGTATGGCAATTTGGGAATTTGAACTTATCTAATACTTGTTTACCAATTTCATAAACTTCCTTTATACGGTTTCACGCAATGAATTAATTAATTGTAATCGTTGTATACCCTGTAAGTCTTTATTCTTTGTATTGAACTTGATATACTGAGAACTTGTTGACGAAGGTCAAGTTCATGTATATTAAAAAATTACTTACCTTCCATAAGTGAAATGGCTGCTCAGAACAAAATATATAGTGCAATAATTACTAATAATTAACGAAGATTACGTACCTAATATAGGTTATGGTCTAAATTAGGGTCCTCTAAAATGGAAAATATGCCCACAAAGGCCAGCCAATTGGGCACGATTGGATACGATAATTTAGGGAAAAAAAAACTTTCTTATTATTCATAAAACACCTTTTTCAACCATCGTTTTTGTTAAAGGTAGAGAGGATACTTCTCCAAATCGAAGAAAAGATTAAAAAAGAAGGGTTTGGTTAAGAGTATTTATTTTTTTTGCAAGAGTGTAGTTAATCTAAAAAAAAGTGTCTAAATTTAGGAGATGCAATAAAAGTGAATATATCCATTCACATGATAAATTAATTTAATTTAGGTGTACTAAATTGCTAAAAAAAAAAAAAGAAAGTCTCGCAATTAACGTCCTTGATAAACCGGGTCTTTCAATATGTCAACCAAACTGCTCTTTATTCCAATTGGTCATTATTCTAATAGGCTATGAGCTGAAAAATCTGTGAAAGCAAAAATCAAAGAAAGGGCTATATTTTGCAATTTTTAACATCTACAAGATTTCATTTTTACCATCCCGTAATTTCTATAATGGTCCAATAAAGAATCCCATTTTTAAGTTTCTTGGCCTAAACGAAGTTATCGAGGAAACAATATATAGTGCTATTTGATTAATGCTTGGGCAAATACATCTTCAAGCGCAAAATCGTTAAATGCAAAAGACTGAAATTGTTATTTTACACATAAAACGTAAAAAGAGTTTGGGGGTTTCTAGAAGCGTGTCTAGGACATATAATAACGCTGAATCATATCTAACACGTAATTTTTGTCTCCAAAATTAAACTGACGACAATATATTATTGCACATTCAACTAATGAAATCTCTTATTACAACATATTTATTGCAGCATTGCGACCTCAGGCAGGAATTTTTTTGTGTTCTACATGGAGCGATCATGAATTTGCTGGCCATTATCTTCAGAAGGTTTGCTTTCCACTTTGCGTGGCAATAATTGGCTCACATTTTTCCCCTCGGAGCTGCTGGCGACGGTCTGCTTAAACTCTTTGTTCCTTTCTTCTTCTTCTTTTGCCATGTTAGTTAGGAACCAGTCGATGTCTATTCCATTAGCAATAGCATAAGCAAGTTGTTCTTCAACACTAATGTCGTTTTGCTTCTCAAGCGTGGTCTCCATGAAGATGGTCTCATTCTTCAACTCTTCTGCGAGCCCTGGATCTGGACCAGACATGGAGCTGGGAACTTGCTTCGATTCATTTGCATCATTGGGTGTCGCCATTAGGAAGTTGACGGAAATGCTATATGGTGGTCGTGTGTATTTTACTAGAGCGACGGTACTTTTTATAGGCGGTTACTGTTTATAGCAAGTGTTGTGGACTTAGGGAAATCATATTATTATTTTGTCATGATGTATTTTTATTCTTTGATATTTGTTAATGTCAATAATGTTTTGAGATTACGATTCACGTTTTATATATACTAAGGTAAGTTTCTTACGACTATTTACTCAAATTCATGACTCGCGTTCATATATTGAGTATTTTTGACATGGTTATGTATTTGAGATTTCTATTCTTATTCTTATATTAATTAGAGCAACTTCTACATGGTTAGTTACTCAAAGTACTATTCTTGTGCATGCATTTATAAGTTAACTTTAAAATAGTTAAGCATTTAAGACTATGATTCGCATTCTTATATTTGTTGTTGCATGCAATAAGCATAAATGATGAGCTATTGACTTCATATATTTCAAAAAGTTTGGGAAAATTTAGACAGTTTGACACACTAGCAAGTGTTTTAAGATAATGATGATAATTTAACATCAGCGTTAGTTAATAGTCGACATTTGGAAGAGTTATTATTGTGCATTCTAAGAGTGAAATTTCATGAGTGGGTCTGTCTAGCGGTGCCCGTTGGGCATTCATTATGATATATTCTTGAAAATGTAAGATTAATTAGGAACGTTAAATAAATGCAATGGAGGGTAGGTAAGATTGACCCAGAAAAGTATACAGATACAAAGGAGGGTAATAATTATTAGAATATTGTTAGACGAATTTTATGTGTGTTAACGAAATCGGCACCTGTTAGAAAAATACTTGATGAATTAATGCACCAGATCTCCAAAGATTTTCATTTTATGTATATGGCATTTCATCATACACATGGAAAGAATTTTTTTTTTTTTAAAACTTATTATGACTACTGAAGAAGTTTCCAAATATGTTAAGAATTTCCTCAAAGTAATAGAGAAGAACTTTTATTCACTTTGGAGGCTGTAGACAAGTAATAAATTTTCAACTATTAAAAATAATTATGAATTCATCTAATATGCATTAGCAATTAAATTCCTAGGAGTAGTTGTTAACATTTTAATGGGGGTTGTACCGCTTAAAAAAGAAAGAAGATGACAGGCAAAGTTTAAACGTGATTAGATTCTCATATTTGAAGCCCACATACATGATAACAAGTAGATTAATAAGGAAATAAATTTTGAATCTGCGTTTGAAAATATTTTTGACGAAGAAGATATTATTGCGGCAATACACTCCAATTATAAGTACATCTAACCCAGAAATTGTGAAATAAATACTAATATAGTATATTGTAAACTTGAAATCTAGGACCTTTTTCCTGGTGGAGCTCATCTTAATTTGTTTCACGAAGCGCAAACTCCTTCCGGCCAAACAAGCGCTAACTGCTTACGAGTATCAGGAAGAAAATGAGTGTCAAACCTCGGTCTGATTAACCAGAAAAACCGACTGAGCAATTATTTTTCGGTTGCCAATTTTCCTTTCGATTATTGGGTTCTAAAACTGTTCTCAACTAATAAATTGAAAAACCTGAAATTGGCTTGGATAACAGAACCGGATTTGATAGTAGAAGTACTACTCAACAGCACTGATTATCACTTGATGATTTTCTCCACCAATTCCTCCCAAAACCATCCAAGATACAGTTGCCAATCCGGTTTGTATGGACGAATGGCTGGTCGGCAGATAAACATTTGCACGAGTCGTGGTATGGTCTCTCGCTTCCACTTCTACACCAATTATTTCTAAGAAAGAAACTACTGCCATGTTATAAACACAATCGTAATCGTAGCGAAAGCAAGTTTATATACAAAACCCCAACCACCAAAAACCACGACAAAGAGTTCGTACTGGCAAATATTGCCCCCCTCCCCCCCTCCACCCCCAAACCCCCTTTCTTTTGAGTTGGAGCAAGACTTTCAGGACAAAAACATCGAGCAACATTCCCCATCTCCACCTCTTCTCCTCACACCGGTTGGGAATAATCACAGGCACCAATGAACCGTCAGTCCTGCCATCTGCAAAGGCTGTCATCAGAAATGCGCCAAAGACAGTTGGTATAAGGCCATGACTAAAGATGATAGCCATAAACACCCTTGACAAAGCAAATCAAAAAGAGAACAAAGAAATTTGGTTTCTTTCAAGGGTTTCTGTCATCGGGCATTTGCTAACGATACAACTAATTTACATTCATATGCTAGGCAAGGTTAAAAATGTAGCAGAGCACTTCTCCTAGTGATGCACACAATTTGCTTTAGAGATTAGGGAACTTTAACAGGAGGGTTTCTGCACCATATAATTAAGTGACAACAACAATTTGCGAAGTAGATAGTGCCAAACTTTATTCGTTCGAGGTCAACTAAGTTCCGCTGTAAGAGGCTTCTCGAAAGAACAGCAACAACTTGAAACTCAAAACCTGCTTTTGAAAACAGTCTCCTTTTCCATGACCAAGAAACTGTTGTATCATCAGCTAATACTGATCATACGCCACCGCTCAAGGCAGAAGTATGTTTTAAACATAGAAGACAATGCGATGATATGACCTGCTTAAGTATCATAAAGCTAAAATGGAGATATTACTTGGGTATTATTATCCTCAAAAAAAACTCAAATTGCTTCGGCTTTAAGTATCATAAGCTAGATTCCACCATAAGTTGCCCTAGAATCTAAAATATTTCCCAGCAGATGACTCCAAACAATAATTTAAGAAAGAAAATTGAACACAGAGAACTGTACAAAGGAATTGGTACTTTTTAAGCCTATACTATTCAAGGAATTGTAAGCACTAAGCACACAAATTTGGATCTTGCCAATCCACCAGACAAATTTAGAGGAAGATCCAGCCACCCATATAACACCATGATACTTTTTGGGATGGTTCAGCAGGAAACCAACAGGATGAAAAAACCAAACCATGAAAAGACACAATTATGACAAGAGATCACTTGCCAATGACAATGAAGTCAGAAAACAATCGAGATACCGTGCTGTTGTCATGTTCTCCAAATTGGAGTTCTAAGTGAAAATTGACTCTCTTACGCAGCATATAGGAGGAAAGAACCGACCTTGTTTAGGAGGGATAGATTGAGGAACGGTAACTAGCACAGACTAAACAAGATTAATTATCGTTCTTGCAATCTTGCATTCTGTTTTGTCCAAATTGCAAGCATTTAAAGTGAATAGAAGTTGCAAAAACCATAAGAATATCCCAACACTGAAACACGTTGACATACCACAAAAGTCGTAGTTTGACCCCCTTCTCAATCAGCTTAAAGCACCAATTTGAACCCGCTTGACAGAAAGTCATCTCTGTCAGAGAACAAAAAACAAAAAGATACAAACTTTATCAAGAAAAGAAAGAGAAATGGAATCAAAACATGTCAGCTGCTACTTATCACTCCAGGAAAGAAAACTTCTATAATCTTACAGTACTACTCTAATACAGAACAAGTAACCCCGGATCCAGGAATCCCTTGTCTGTATCGATAGTACATGCATGAAGCAGAAATGCAAGAATGCACGATATCACCTAAAAAAGAATTATTCGTACAGAAACAAAATACTCCTATAATCACGACTGCCGCAGTCCATAGAAATGAGCCAAGATCACGAGTAGGAGGACAGAAGGCTCTAAAGGTTTACCTCTTCGGACCAGCTTTCGGGTTCCCCCTATCTTGGGTTTTCTTCTTCTGGTGGACTTGTTGAACATCACTGTAAGGGAGTTTGACAAGACTTGCCAGACAAACATCTGTATTAAAAAATTTGGGCCCACCATGAATCCTAACACTCTTCACAGACTTTTCCTGCAAATCAAACCACAGGAGGCAGCTAGAGTTTTGCTCCAAAAGGACTTGCTTCCCATCGTTTGAGTAACCTATTGGCTTCACTTGCTCAAAGGACTGAATATGAGTAGGCTGAACAACAGAGCATATTTTGATCCAAGATTCCCTCACCCCGTATTCTTTCATAACCCAGAAATCGACGTGATAGCGATAGTAATTGCAAAACAAGCCAATGCATTCTCCCAAAACAACCAAATTCATGAAAAAATCCCCAGCCAAGGTTTTAGGAAGCGGCAGCAGATGCCACTCCTCACTTCTTATATCAAAAGCAGCGACTTGATTGGCGGTACCCAATCTCGGACTGTTACCCGCAATCCAGTGCAGTGCATCGCCCGCAAAAGTCCCGCCAAGTTTTAGATACCGAATAAAGTACGGACAATCTTGAATCTTTCTCCACTGATTGGAGTTCAAACTATAGACCTTAACTTCATTCTGGAAAAAATCATCCTCCCAACCAAGGTGAAATTGGGTGACTCTTACGACCTTATAATCATCATGAACAGAGTCATACCCAAACCCAGTTTCAGAATGCCATACAAACCTGCCACATGGGTATTCAATGGAAGTTGGAGGTAGTTTCTGGTGCTTTCTGGTGGATGGGTTCCATATGATGCTGTCTTCTAAGGTGGTGGACAGAAACAGCAGCCCGTTACAGGAACCCAGCACTAGAATGGGCATGTCGATGGACGGCGATAATGGAGGGGTAAGTTTGGTAGGGTAGGCCACGTCGTCCTGAAAAGAATCGAAGTCGGCGGTGTAGATTGATGAGGCGTAACCGAGGATGAGGGTGAGATTACGCTTAGTTTTGAGGGAGCGGGAGATGTGGTTTTTGATGAAGTCTGGGCTGTCTATCAAAGCCAGCCATGGTTTTGATACGCACTTGAACCTTAGAAGTGACTTCACCGGTAGGAAGGTGAGCAAGTAGGAGATTACTTCCGCCGGAATGTGAGCGTCACGCTCCGACATCTTTTTCGGAGCCGGATCAGAGAGTATATCCAACGAAGCCAAGCGGTAGGTAGCAGGGCAGTAGTAGGTTACTAGGCTACAAGTTCCAACTTCCAGTTACTCAGTGCAACGCTCGCTCAATAGATTATAAAAAAGAAGAAGAAGAGGAGAAGGCACAAACGGTTCTGTCTTTGGCGGTCAAATCTCCTCCACTAGAACCTTTTTTTTTTTTTTTTTTATTGTTTATTACGAACCACGAGGCCCAAGCTTGATAAAACGCTTCGCACTTTAAGAGGTGTTATAAAGCGGGCCAATTAATGTTTGAAGAACAGGCCGATAACATCTCCCATGGGCCATGTTCAATCAGTTCTAAACTTCTAATCTTATATGCGCCCCGGTTCTAAACCTTTATAGCTAGTTTGGGAGGATGGAAATGAAAAGAAAAGAAAGGTTTTGAAAGGATAAGAAAATATTTCCATTGTTTGGGAGTAAAAATGAGAAGAAAAGGAAAAGAATTGGAAAGATTTCACCACCCTCCACATTTTGGAAAACTTTCCGCCCAAAATTGGGCGGAAAGTGAAGGAACGTGCGCTGGCTATAAGTAAATTTTTAAATATGGCAAAACTACCCTTCAAATTCCAATACATAACATTTTAATACCCGATGAACCCCTCCACTACAAAGCTCTCGGCAGAACATCTCTTGTCACTTTATCTACCCATCATCTTCTTCCTCTGAGAAATAGGTGAACATCTCCTTTTACTAGAGCTGTTAAGTTAATCAAGTAGCTCGAAAGCTCGTTAGAGCTCGGCTCGTTAAGGCTCGAGCTCGGCTCGTTAATTTTGGTTAACGAGTCGAGCTCGAGCTCGAAACATGCTCGTTTAGTTAACGAGCCGAGTAAGCTCGGCTCGTTTGATACTCGAGTAGCTCGTTAGAGCTCGTTAATGAAGGGCATATTTGTCATTTTAGAAATCAAAATTATAAAAATTAAAAATTATAGGTTTTTATTAAGGTTAATTTGCACGAGCTCGAGCTCGAACTCGTGAAGCTCGACTCGTTTGTGATAAACGAGTAGAGCTCGAGCTCGAACTCGAGCCACATGTATATTTAACGAGCCGAGTTCGAACACATTTTAAAGCTCGTTTTCCTAACGAGCTCGAGTCGAGTTCGGCAGCCAAATACTCGGCTCAACTCGGCTCGATTAACAGCTCTACCTTTTACTTTATCCAGCCATCATCTTCTTCCTCTAAGAAATAGGTGACTTTTGCATCCTTCTGCATCTTCAATGGGCTTCTAATCAGGTGCATTTCTATTTCATTGTTATTTTCTTTGCTATTTTTTGTTGAGATGTTGCATATAGATGGGGAAGACAGATTAATTATATATCTAGAAAGTGACTTTGTTTATATAATAATTTGTTATATCTTTTGGGTTTCTATGGCTGCATTGAAATTCCTTGAATTCTTGTACTACTCTTTTGATTTTAGGGTCACACAAGTTTGTGACTTTATTTTTTTTTTCAGTCATTGAAACTTTTCTACTAGCTACATCTGTAATAAACAAATTCTACAGATTTGGTGAACATATCTGAAGTTGAAAGCCAACATCATTCAGGTTGTGTCCATCACTGATATCCTAGTGAATTTTTTTATATTATAGAATAAATCAACTAACATTAGTACTTTTAGATGGATAAGGAAGCAAATGATGTTCCAAACGAGTTTCATATTCAACAAAGAAGTCGACAATTAGCTGCTGCTGAAGTTATTTGTAGAGTGACAAAATTGATTATGTCTCGGAGGGTTCGTAGTAGAAATTATATAGATCGACCTATTGGATATCGGTCTATAGAAAGCCAGAATGTACGAGAGGAAATATTGATGCAACTTAGGACAAATGGTAACGTGAATAAAGTTATCCGAATGGGGCCTAATACTTTTACACATTTGTGTGAGTTATTACAAACAAATGGGGGTTTACGACCCACCCAAAGAGCAACAATAGAAGAGCAAGTTGCTAAGTTTCTTCACATTTTATCACTTCTAGCAACGAATGGGACAGTTTCATTCTTTTATCGTCGCTCGGCTGAAACTATTAGCCGCCATTTTCATAGAGTACTTAAAGCAGTTATACTCTTAGAAGAACAATTCCTACGACAACCTACAGGAGAAACAGTACCACCAGAAATCCTTAACAGTGAAAGGTTCTATCCATATTTCAAGGTGATTTTATTTTCTATATAGGTTGAATTTTTAACTTCAAATATAAACTCTTATTAAAAATTAATATACTAAAATATATGTAGGATTGTGTGGATGCAATTGATGGAACTCATGTTCGTGTCAAAGTGTCTAATACTGAGGCAGCAAGGTATCGTGGCAGGAAAGAGCATCCAACACAAAATGTGTTGGCTGCATGCTCTTTCGACTTAAAATTCACATATGTTCTACCTGGATGGGAAGGGACTGCATCAGACTCGAGAATCATAAAAAATGCACTTAACAGAGAAGACAAATTAATTATTCCTAATGGTAATTTTAAATTTTTCAATTTTTAAATTTTTTATATATATAATTGCATATATTAGTAACTTGCTGAAGTCTTTATAGGTAAATTTTACCTTGATGATGGTGGATTCATGTTAAAAAGTGGACTGCTTACACCTTATAGAGGAGTTGCGTACCATTTAAAAGAGTACTCAAATCGGGGACCCCGAGATTATCGAGAACTTTTCAATCTTCGGCATGCATCATTGCGTAATGCAATAGAGAGGGCATTTGGAGTTTTGAAAAAACGCTTCCCAATCATAGGTGATAACCAGCCAACATATGATGTCAATACGCAGTCAAAAATTGTTCTTGCTTGTTGTATTTTGCACAACTTTTTAATGGAAATAGATCCGAATTTGGAATATATTGATGAAGTAGATGCAGGATTGGCACACCAATCTCCTATCGAGGATGAAAATATTGCATCTACTAGTACTCAAGAAGAAGATTCATCACAAGGCGAATTTTTGAGAAATCAAATAGATATGCAAATGTGGAATGATTATGTAGTTTAAAATTTTTGAAATTGGTGCTGTAAACTTTTTGAATTTTTTGAGCTGTAAACTTCCTAACATGTACTAAATGGTATGTTTGGGTCTTGTTTTGGTGCTTGCACAATGTTATCAAGATGTTGCAATTGTTTAAAATATTTATTTTTTGCTAATTTTGTTTACTATTTTATCATTACCATTTAGCATTTGAAATGAGTGAAAATTTAAAGAAAGGTCAGGAAGTTAAGAGAGAGCACTTGAAATGGATACAAACTATGGATGATGCTTTTATCCAAGCATTATTGAATCAGCACTATGAAGGGTATCGAGTTGATGGAACTTTCACAACAACGGTATACAACAACATTGTCAAGGAATTGAAGGATAAACTTGGCAAGGATTTCACCAAAAGTCATTTGATGAATCGAATGAAGACACTTAAATTGCATTTCAATGAGTGTTATGACTTGTTTAGAAATGGAAAATTTAGTGGCTTTTCTTGGAACCCTGTGACAAAAAATTGGAATGCTGAACCTGAAGTTTGGGAGCAACTTTTAAAGGTATGCGCTCGTTACATTTAGTTACCTTTTTTTGCTCATTTTCAATTCCTATTGTAACAATACTTCTATTTATTTAGGAAAAACCGGATGCTGAAAAAATGAGGACAAAACAAATCCATAACTACGACAAATTAGAAGAGTTATTTGCTAAGGATCGAGCTACTGGACAAGGTGCCGAAACAGCAAAAGAAACACGCAATAGATGGGCCAATGAACCAAATGATGCTGAATTGGAAAGTTTTATTGACGTTGACCGTCTTCTCTCTCAAAATGAGATTACTATAGAGAGTTTTGACAATACAACTAAAGATACTGGTGTCAAAGTTTCCAAAGCTTGCAACAAAAAATCAGTACAAGGTACGTCATCTACTCAAGGGAAAAAAAGAAAGTTGTCTGTTGTTGATGAAGAACTTGAAATTATAAAAGGTGCACTTGATAATGTTGCTGATGCAATAAGGGAGGGAAATTTTATTTTCCAAAATTCTAGAGAACGGTTGTACACCGAAAATGAGATTTACAAGGAGCTAACTAGTATTGGAGTTGAAGCGGACTCTATTGATGACTGCTATCTCTTTTTGACTCAAAATCAAGTTAAATCAAGAGCATTTTTTGGTTGTCCAGCAGAAAGGCGCAAGAGCATATTGGAAAAAATGATGCAACAGCATATTGGGAAAATGATGGATGGTTTTCGTCATTCAATCCATTTGGATGAAAATTTGAACATATAGAATGAGCTGTGCTAAATCCTGTACATCCTCTCTATTTTGATCTTTTGGAAATAGAACATGTCTTAGCTATGTTTTTTGCATCAGGATGTAAAGGCATGCAGAAAAGCCTTTTTAGTTTTTGGTATCAAGATGTAGAAGCATGCAAAATATCTTTTGTAATTATGTAGATCCCTTTATTTTTGTCTTTGGGATATGGAACTTAGATTCTACCTTTTTGTATTAGGATGTACTGATATGGAAGTTGTAAACATAACTCTATTGGCCTTACCAATTGTAATGATGAAATGGAGCCATATGAATGTTAATATTTTGTTGTGTGACTGTAGCAATTGTTAACTTGTGTCCATTGGACCTACGTGATCTAAACGAAACAGGGTCTCAATCCTACTCCTGCTCGGCCTTACCAATCTTATCTGGTTATGCCTTGCCTTGCCTGCAGTCAATCCCCACCAAATGGTGTGTGTGTGTGTATATATATATATATGTTTGTGTGTGTGTATATATATATATATCACCTGATGCCATTGTTACTGCTTCTATTCTTATTCCTGTGACATGTTGATTTTCTCTGCTTTGGGTATTCACTAGCAAAGCAAGCTTTAGCTTTTACTTCCAAAAACTAAATAAGATTCATGAAGTCAGGATGAATTGATGTGCTACTGGAAGGAAAAAAAAAAAAGAAACATAAAGAAGAATTATTGGCTGCTGTACTTTTCAACACTAACCCCCGTACATATGAACATAATCAAGTTGTAGAGTCTTAAATTATGACAATCAACCAAGAACTCTCTGTTCTGAATCTGAAACCCACTACGCATGCATGAAATATGAGGGTTGGCTGGCCTGAAAAATTATAGTGGAAGAAAAATTATAGTGGAAAATTAACAAATTTCATTCTATAGTTTTCATTAGATTGCAGCAAATGACCAAATCTATATTAATTTCCTTAATTCACATTTGTTTATAGAAAGGGCATATTCGTAAAATAATTTATTTGAGTATCTTTTCCTTTCAGTTGTATTCAACTCCCAAACATCAGAAAACTAATTACTTTCTTTTCTTTCTTAAAACTCCCAAACAACTAGATAGAAACTTTGATCCTTTCTTTTCTTTTCTAATTTATCATTTCTCTTCTTTTCTTTTCATTTCCATCCTCCCAAACTAGCTATTAATCTCGGGGATTGGCTCCAATCCCTTTTCTACTCCTGCGATTTGATTTCTTTTTCCAAGTAAATTGGTTTAAACTGGCTAAATATTTTTTTTCCCCAAACTGGCTAAATATTTGAACATCAAATTCTTAAACATTTTCCCCTGGACCTAGGCAAGACACCTAACTCAAAATTCAATGGCAGTATGTGCAAATGTACTAAATCAGGACTCCACAGTTTAACAAAGAATACACAAAGATTAAAGTGAAAAGCACTCATTATATTTACCTTGTTGATGAGGAAAATAGCCATTTGATGCTTGACGACTATCATTGTCACTATGGCTAACAAGAGTTTGGCTATGTCCAAGAAAAAAAAAAAAGAGAGAGAGAGAGAGAGGAAAGAAATTGACAAGTAAATAGATGAGACCATCCATTCGGGAGGATCATCTTAGTTTCTATTTTATAAAAAACCTAGTTTGTTTATGTTTTTTATGGCAACCAAGTTTTAAATTCACCAGGGAAGGTCGAGAGATCCTTATAGTTGCGTGTTGCTTAGACACTCATGACTTTGTAATAAATTGTTCTTGTGATAAAAGTCCCTTGCACTTGAACTCCGCAAGGGAAGATTGACAATATCCAGCTCACAATCACAAAACAAGGCTGCGACTTCCATTAGGGCCAAACATACTTCACAGTTTCCACGTCTATCTGTTGATAGTCAGCAATGGCTGCAAATTAAAACAAAACCTATGGATTTTAAACTGGCAAAATGTCATTAATTCCTGCAAAGCTCAAGTTAAATTTTGGGTTTTACTTTTTACCTGGCTAAAAAGCTCTACCAATAGATCTTATTCTTCCCAAACAGACAAACCAGAACCACCGCAGCCGCAGGAGCATATTTTGAGGATGATAATTGATTCTTAAGGTCCGTCCATGTCATTCCTGTATTAACATTACCATCCGCCCGCAGATGCTAAGTAGGATGATAGTTCTTTGTTTTTTGCAAGTGCTAATATACGGCGGATTGAGATAGGATGATTTGTCCGGATGAAAATAACTAAGAGCCCCAAAAACCACAGCCGAAGCTGACGTTCAGTGATCCGCCACAACTCACCAAAACCCACTCCCTTGCGTACTACTGCTTACAAAAATTATGGATGCCCACCTCCCCTCCCCTCTGTCAGGCATCAGCAAGCATCCCCCATGACCGTGAGGTCAGGACCAAGATCCCAGTCCCAATCCAGCCCTTCCTCCGCGTTGAATTTTTCCGTTTTAGATAGTACATTATATTATTCGTAATCTTAATCACCCGAGGGCCAAAAGGTTTGTGTTTATTTTTCTTGAAGTCCTCACATGTTCCACTACCTAACATTTCCCCAAAACCCAACCTTTATTCCACAAAACAAATAAGTAAAAACAAACCGTAGTAGTAGTTAGTAATACCCCCCACCCAAAAAAAAAAAAAAGAGCCTTAAAATTAAATACTCCTGGTGCTAGCTCTCTTACTTCTTCTGCACTTCCTCTTTTTTTTCTTTCTTTCTTTCTTTTGAGTAAAGCAGGAACTTTTTGGACTGTTTTTGGGGATTTGACGGAGTCATCTGGGTCGTCGAGTGCTTGGACTGAGGTGGGCTTGGAGGTGTTGGGTGAAAGGTGGTGTTTGAGTTGAACTGGGGGACTTCTTGTGCGGGAAAAGTAATATGGGTGATGACAACAAGTCCGGGATAGCTGGGGTTATGGGGAGCACTAGTCGAGAAAGAGATCGAGAGCTTCTAATTCCCGTCTCTGATTCTGTTGAGGCTGACGATGACTCCTCTTCCAAGCCCTCTTCTTCTGCTTCCTCCTCTCATCATCACTCTGGCCGGGAGGTATGATTTTCTCTTTCGTTTTCGGACAAAATGCTTTTGTTGTGGACGAACCCCTTTTCATTGGTGGATACTGCTTTGATATCTTTGAGATCCATTGATGGGTTGCCCGTATATGTACTTTTTAGCTATTCCATGTGGTTTGTTCTAGGGTTTAGGTGATCTTTAATTTATGATTTGATGCTTTCTGGAACCTTTGTCTGCATTGAGTAACCTATATAATACTCGTTGAATTTCATATATTAAAGTTAGGCCCTCCTTTAATGATGGGTTTCAAGTTGGGATTTCGAAATGGCATTTGATTTACTTACTTTGAGGTATGTTCTGCATAGAAATGATTTCGAATTGTTGGGTGGCGGGTGGTTTTTGTTTCATGAGAGATGGCAAGGAGTAAAGAAAATGCTGGGAGTAGCTGGTTTGTTTGATTTTGCAATATTTCTTCTGGGCATTCTGTTCATGCTTTCCTAGTATAATTGAATTGATACCAGTCCAAATTAGTCAATAAAATTCGTTGGGATAAGAGGAGTTTATTTGTATTCTTCATGGTGCTTCCGAATTCTGCAGTAGCTCATAAATATGATTGCATTTTTGTCTGTAACCTCAGGGAAATGCTTCCCCTGCCGCCGTACTAGGCGTTAACTGTCGGCATTAACTTTTCTCGTCTATTCTTTTTATTCATTGTGTCTTAGTTCTTTTCTGACAAATTCTTGGTGTCTTTACTCAC